GAGACCCAGGTCCCTTCCCTTGTGTTGCTCTGCCTTCTTTTAGTACCTCACCCTCTGTAATCAGCCATTTAAACAAGAAAACATGAGAAATACCTGGTCTCAACAGCCTTGGCCTGAAAGTGACTCACATCTCTCCTCTAGTGTCATTGGCAACAACTAGTCACATAGCCCCAAGTGCATGCAAATGGGCCGGAAGGTGTAGCCTAGCTCCCTCTGCCCACGAAGAAAAGGATATTATAGATATTAATGAGTCCTCAGAAGTTTCATCTGCAGAGTTTGATATTACTGATTGTCATATCCCTCTATAGGAAGATTATCAGGTACCTATTATGCTGCTTGAAAGCTAATGCCATGTAGAAAGGACTTAATCCCTTTGAGGAATGACAGTCTTTGTCAGACATTGAAAGAGCTGCCTCGACTGTTTAATAAATATATTTAACCTTTCAATGCAAATTTCAAGCAAATGATCATAAATATTATGGAGTTTCAGAGTAAGATAGTATTATGGTTTGGGCGTGAGGTGTCCCCAAAAAGCTCACAATGTGAGACAATGCAAGGAAGTTCGGAGGAGAAATGATTGGGTTATAGCCTTATTCCCAATCAATTGATTAATCCCTGATGGGATTAACTGGGCAGGAACTGGAGGTAGGTGGGGTGTGTCTGGAGGAAGTGACGCATTGGGGGCGTGGCTATGGGTATATATATTGTGTCTGGAGTCTTTTTCTCTCTGCTTTCTGAGTCATCCTGTGAGCTGGTTCCCTCTACCACACTCTTCCACCATGATGTCCTGCCTCCCCTGAAGCCCTGAGGAATGGAGCCTGTGGTCTATGGATTGAGACCTCTAAAGCCGTGAGCCCCTAAATAAACCTTTCCTCCTCTACAGTTATTCTGGTGGGATCCTTTCATCAACAGCAGTGAAAAAGCTGACTAAAACAGATAGCAAGAAAAGAAAAATAAGCCTCTGATTAGAAAACAGCACTTTTCTTCACATCCCCATGTCTCTTGCTTCCTCTTTCTATCTAGTGGACTTCCATGCAGTATGCTTCAGTACCGGTCAACACTAAGACCCCAGTGCCTGGGGTTTGTTACTTCTGGTTCATGTTTTATGTTCAATACAGGTTGGTTTTGTTTTCTGCTTGCTTGTACTTACTCATGGACCCAGGGACTATCTCCACAAATCACTCAGGCAGGAAAGAGGACAGGAGCTCTTCCAAACTTCCCTCTGGAATGAAGGTACATCATTTCCATTTCCATCTTGGTAGCCAAAAACATGTCACATGGCCCACTTTAAGGAGGAAGAGCTACACCCAGTAGGAGCCGAGAACTGTGCATGAGCAAATGCTTCTGTCTCATGAAGTTCTCTCTCGTGCTCTCTGTTGGAAGAAAAGGCAAATGGATGAGGAGAGGGCAAGTGAAGGAGCACATAGAAATCTGTCCTTTAATAATTTGGAGGCACTTCAAACTTTGTTGGTAGAAAAAATGGTCCATATGATTAAACAAAACTTATGAATAATGTTGATGTCATGTTGCCTTTGAATACCAGCACCCAACGCTATATTCAACCCTAAAATTATTGTAAACATGGATGAATCTTCAAAGAATTATTTGAGGTGAAAAAAATACAAGGTTCCATTTATATGGAATTTTAGAAAAAACAAACTATAATACTAGAAAGCAGTCATCAGTGACTGCCCAGGACTAGCTGATAGAAAACACTGCCTAGGGACATGAGGACACTTTTTAAGGTATTGGAAATATTGCACATCACAATTGTGGTGGTGCTTACCCAATTGTACATATTTGTGAAACTCAACAAAGTGGTGAATTCTATTGCATATAAATGGTATTTCAGTAAAAAGTTGGTGCTTTAGAGAGCTTATTCATGCATCTCTTCATAAATACTGTTTTAAGCTTTGATTCACCTTTGAAATGCACGTTACTGAAAACCTACATGTAATGTTTTAAAATGGAAAAAAATTAAAGAGAAACATGATATTCTCCGTTTTCATTAACTACGTCTATGAGTTCCATAAATCCCCCACTGATTCAAACACAAAATGATGAAGGGGATGGTTGATGCTGATTTGGTCCTTAGGGACTGTCCTACCTGGGTGGTGTCAGCATAATCTCATGCACAACTCCCAAGATGAGAGATTAGTCTTATCAGTTTCGGGCAGAAATGTGTGAGTTGGGCCTCAAGGAAATCAGTGGCCCATGAGGTAGAATTCAACATAAGAGTTCTTCCTAAATATATCAGTGTGGTGCATTAGAAAATGACAAAGAAAACTTCTTCTTTGGAGGATACAAAATTCATTGAGAGAGCGGAAGTCTAGAGGAAGAAAGCAGGTTCTCCTAAGTTGGTGCAAATTTGCAACTTCCCATCAAGGTAATTAACTTTGTCTCAAGTTTTCAATATGGCATTTTAAGCATTTAAAAAATTTTTTCTAGTTATTAAGATTAGAAGAATATAAAAGGTCTATAAAAATGTGTGTGTATGGGCACGTGTTGAGAGGGTGGGGAATGTGTATTGGAGGCAGCTATGTGAACACAAAACAGAGAAACACAGAAAGGGAAGTCACAGGTGGAGCACCTTCACCTGTCAGGGACACAAGCAGCCTCGTCCAGGCTGCTCCCTCAAGTGAGAATCTGGCTTTAGTTCAGCTCTGAGAAAGACACCAAGCGGTGGAGAGGAGGAGGGTGTGGAGAGAAGGAGCAGCCCTGTCCAGGTTGCAGGTGACCACAGCAAGCCCATGCTGTAGAGGAAGTTGGAACAGAAAGAGAGAAGGACCAGGCACGGGTCAGCATGCTGTCCCTGGAGGTGCATTGGTCGGGAGGCAAAAGCGTCTCAGGACAGTGGATGGCTGGAGTGACTTTTCTCCTAGAGAGCATCCCTCTTCTGTGGGGTATGCATAAAGGCAGCCGCTGAGCCTGTTTCCTGTGTTTAATCCGTTCCCCAGGGACCTACCCCCCCCCACCCTCCTTCAATACACCATTCCCTCCCATCCACATTCATTTCCCAGTTTTACAAATCAACTGATTTTTTTTGTTTTCTTTTCCCTCTCAACTTCAGGTTTCCCTAGACTCCTAACTTAGTCAGTTAAAAGCCCTTAACTTCTTGAGAAAACACCAGATTTACTGTGCCTATCAGGTGACACTGTGTCCCATCAGGTGAAGGTCACTCCTGGCATATCTTTATATTGGAACTGTGCTGCAAATTTTTACATAGTTGGCTATGAGATACAAAATCATTACTTTCATTTAATGAAGCAACAAAGACTTGATTTCTCTGGCAAATCATTGTGTCTAAAAACCAGTGGTATCTCTAAATTCTCCCTAGAAAATATCACTATGTTTAAACTATTTTATCTGTTGATCTTGAACATTTCAACAAATTCCCACCCAATTGCATAACGCCCCAGGGTCTTTCCAGGCAGGAGGATCATAGCATTTAATGAATACAATCGGTTTTGACTTACAGAATGTCAGAACCAGACAAGATCATAAAGATAAACACATTCAACTCTTTAATACTGCAAACGAGAAAACTGACACAGAGGATATCACTGGCTTAGCCTTATAGCCAGTTAATGGCATATGTAAGAGTTAAACCAAGATCTCCTGGTATTTTTTCCTGTTTATCATTGAAGGAGGACTCCTATTTAAATTTTAATATAAAATAAATGTATAGACATTTTAAGAGACATGGGGGGGGGAAGCAGTTAGGGGTCCTGTTGAAAAGCAATGATGGCTTGGTATAGTGGTTCTGAGATAGGGATCATCTTTAACATCACCAATGGGGCTTTATTAAAAAAAAAAAGACACTCTCAAATCTCCCCAAATATATAGGATAAAAATATTAAAGATAGGGTCCAGAGATTTGTAATTTTAAAAATCTCTATAAAAGATTCTAGTGTACACTCTAGTTATAAAAAACTAAACAAAGGAAAAAATAGTGGAAGCACTTTGCTTTCGTTGATTGTATCATGAAATCTGAAATCTTTCACTTACTGTGTGACCTTGGGGGATCTTCTTAACCTTTCTGAGCTTCAAATTCCTCATCTATTAAAAAGAAGATAATAATTGTAATTCTACAGGGATAATGACAGGAAATACTATGGTGTCTGGAACAGAGGGCACACTGAATAAATACTTGTTTGTATATTTCAACCTTGGACAGACTGGAACTCTCACATTGTTCTCTAAGAAGAGCTGACATTTGCCCTGGCTGTGGCAGGTAGGGCTCCATGGCCAGAGAGATGGGAATTTCAAGTCCATTGCCATTTATTGCTTATTTGTCTTTGGTAAAATTTTTTTCAGATATTCTATGCCTGAGTGCTTTCTCTCCCGTGGGGTAGCAATAGCATGGCACTTGGCATAGAGTCAATAGGCAATAAAATAATACCTGTTATTATTTTTATTAGTACCACTTTATTCCGACATGTAATGTGCAGGTTCTAGCAGTTGAAGCCTCCTCGCATTATTGTGGGTTGATAGGATTAGCTATTCAGGTGCTGAAGACTGACACAAATTGATCCTTAGTAACTGGTTTACCATGCTCCTAAATGTTTTTATTGAGGTGTAATTTACATACGAGGAAGTGCGGAGATCTTAACCGTGCAGATCAGTGAGTTTGGGAAAATGTACACAGCCATTTAATTCCCATCCTCGGCAGAAAGTGGAGCATTGCCCTCACTCCAGAAAGTTCCTGCCTAACCCTTCCCAATCTGATCCCCTTGTACCTGAAGGAGCAGCAGCCATTCTCTGTCTGCCAGCATGGATTCGGCTGCCTGTTCTGGAACTTCATACAAAGAGAATCATAAAGTGGAGCTCCTCTTGCTCAGCATAACATTTATGAAATTCATTCATGTTGTTTAATGCGTGGGTCGTATTTTATTGCACATACTTTTAAGTGTTCAAGTACTTCCTACTTCATACGACTCCACCAGTTCTGTAAGTTACATACCAAAGATTTATCCTACGTTTTTTCATCTTTTCTACAGAACGTGATTGTGAGGAGAGAGACACACGTTACCAATGAAAGATCAGGATCACCTGGTAGCAGGAATACGAATAAAGCACGATGACGGCAAGATCTGACATTTGTCCATTGTGTCATTGCAGTCCGGGAACGTCAGACCCGTCTTGGCTTGGCAGATTTATTCCAGTCTGATATTTTCATGAAATTAAAACTGGCACTACCCACATCCTAAAATATTCTAAGTGTGTTTTTGGTGATGCTCAGATTTATTTATTTTTTTAATTTAAAAAAATTGTAGTTGTAATTGGACACAATATCTTTATTTTATTTTTATGTGGTACTGAGGATTGAATCTAGTGCCTCGCACATGCTAGGCAAGCACTCTACCACTGAGCCACAACCCCAGCCCCATGGCCAGATTTAAACACATCCCTAGGGCAGCGGTCTTCAAAGTGCAGGCCCCATATAACAATTGCAAAACAATATAATAGATCTTTTATTAAAAGCAAGGAAGATAGTGTGCTTTGCTCGCATTGATGAGTTCCCATGTCAGAATTCCGTGAGGGAAGAAGAGTCCACCATCCAAAGTCAGAAGTGTCCCCCTCCATTGCTTTTCAGCATGAGGCCACGAACAGCACTTATAGGTGCCATTGTTGAGAGGATTTGAGGATTATATCATCTAGTTTTGGTTAAACCAACCATCACAAATGCAGGCTTAGAGTTAATCCTGCAAAGAGCAAGTGGTGAAGCCCAAAGCACGTTGTGGCAAGGGAGGAAACACAAAGAGAAATGGAGGCGGAGCAGACTCTTCTAGCAGCGGCTGTGTCATGAGGCCATGAGCTCAGGACACAAGCCACCCAATGCACCTCGTGTTGTCAGGAAGGGTGTTTGAAATAGAGGTCACTGTCATTACCGTGAAAGAGTCCCCTTTCCTGAGCCTTGAGATGCTAGCTGATCAGAACAGGAAGCCACATTGAAAGGTATTGTTTCTATTAACCTTAATTCGTACTGGCAATATTCTAATTTATGTTTCAGTGTGCATACTGTTTCATATGTTATGTGATTTATAAATAAGTGTATGTATATTCATGGATGTATGAAAAATATGTGATATGAGCATAGACATTTATGGGAAGAGTTTATGTATTGGAGGCATTTGACAGTTTTACTGCATAGGTGAACAATCTAGGACAACATAATGTTAAACTATTTCTGGGCTTTCTTACCTCTGTGAAGTAGGTTTTCTCTCTGAAATACAAAGTGAAGAGGAATGAGGTAGTGAGACATTCCAACTCTGAGGCCAAGTTCAGTCCGTTCTATATCCTATGTATTTGGTTTCAGAAGCTGCCTCTCTTAGCTCTGTTTCTGGAGCTTGGTTCATTGTGTTAGAATTTCATTGGATTAGACAAAGGGGAAGGAAGGGAAGAGAGGGCTGATGGGAATGGGAAAGA